AACTGAAGACATCATTAGAAAATGAACAATATGAATAAGTATCAAAGCAATCGGACTTACAGTTTTTAACAAGAAGTCGAGAATATCACTTTCTACCAAAAATGACTAAAATATTCACCAAAATTAGAGAATTGAAGAATATCATCACGAAATGAACAAATCTGAGAAAGGTCTACATGTAGTATCTATATATGTAATATCAAAGCAATTGAACTTTTGGTTTTTAACAAGAAGTCGAAAATATCACTTTTTACCAAATATGACAAAAATATTCACCAAAATTATAAAATCCAAGATATCATCACGAAATGAACAAATCTGAGAAAAGTCTACATGTAGTATCTAAATATGTAATATCAAAGCAATTGAACTATTGGTTTTTAACAAGAAGTCAAAAATATCACTTTTTACCAAAAATGACAAAAATATTCACCAAAATTAGAGAATTGAAGATATCAACATGAAATGAACAAACCTAAGAGAGGTCTACCCAAGGTACATATACACCAAGTATCAAAGCATTCAGGCTTGTAGTTTTCAAGAAGAAGTCGAAAAAGTAAAACATTGACACGGACGTCGACGACGGACGACGACAGACAATCACTCATATGATAAGCTCCGCTCGACAAAGTCGACAGCGGAGCTAAAAACTCACTGGATTTTAATTCATTGCATATAGTGATCTACAAGATAAAACCTGCTGAATATTTAAGCACCATACAGTATATACTATGTACATGTGACTGTCACAGCGTGGGTGTTACGTATAATGTAGTACCCAAGTGGTGATACATTCCCACACTGCTTCAGAAAGAAGATAGTGAATGATGATAGACAGTCACCATGATTGGCAGCAATGTTATCTTCACCAACGACATTATTTGTCAGCCTTTGGAGAGAAAGCAGAACAATAATCTCCTTTTCTTCCTCTCTAACTCATGCAAACCAGTTTCCAACGTAAAATTGATATAATTGCTTAGCATACGAATTATAAGGAATATCTGTAAGCAACCTCTCCTTCTATTAATTCTTTACTGTAACAATCAAAAATAAATATACAAGGAGCAGGCGCTATTTGACCCCCCCCCCTCACTAAAAACAAACCCCCTCCCCATTCCCATAGTAAAGCCTGTCATGCAGGTCCCCTCCCCATTCACATCAAAAACAATCATCCATCACAGCCCCCAACCCCTTTTTATTTGTTACTTTGAAAGCGAACCATTCAAAACCCCCCATCCCCACCCTCTAAAAGCACATTCAGTCCACTTTTTTTATCTCTGAGTTCACCATTTGTTTGGCAATCACTTCTACTGTGCCTTGAAATCTAGCGTATCTTGCATGGTTTAACTGAAAAGCTAATCGATCTCTCATTAGCGGAACACTAATACCTAAACTATGGAGACATGTATTCGTGCAACGTAAAAGGCAACTTCTTCGTTATCGCAAATCAAAACCGGACAATCTTAATTGATTTCGGCTCGCCCACCATCTCGTCAAATCTCATTGTATTGTATCCATTAGTTACAATGACACTAGACATATACGTCTAGAAGTACTTTCTGCTGCCACTGTCTTAGATTATTGGAGCACAGTTATTAATTACATTATATTCTTTTTGAAAGGAACTGATTGAATTCTCCAACAAAAAAGCAGTTATAACTTTTCCCTTCATTGTTACAGAAGATCACCTGATTTTTTTTAACATACCGGTAGTCAAAATAGAGAGATTTATCAATTCATGGTTGGTCAATAATGATCCACAATGTTATGTGTAATATATAGCAAAGATAAACCTGTATTAGAAGAAAATTATAAAAACTGAAACACATGCTTATGAAATGAACTGCATCTTATTTATCATTATGCACGATGACAGATCAATTTCCATGCAACATGGTTCACTGTTTTCATGCTGCCGATACAAAGGTTGAATAAACATTATTATTATTATATTATTATTATTATTATATTATTATTAAGTAAAACTGTTAACAACAGAAGCTGCCAAATCAAGTCGTTTAATTGGTTAGGTCTGCAACTTACACTTACTGTTAAAGGTGTAAGCAATCGTAATAGAGGAAATACATATTCTGCTATTGGAGGTGTGTTTCAATCAAAAGTGTACTTCTAAGAGAAAATAAAATAGTCCCTGCATGTCTTTTTTCTTTGTCTGTACGATTATAAAACATCTTTTACACTTTCTTTGACAACCAATCTGACGGATAAGGATTGAATCGTGACAAAGAGATAACACAAATATTCCTATCTTTGGTTTTAGGACACAGGTGCGAGTGACTATTCTGATTATGCGGTATTGAGTCAGTCAGAGATATCATGCTGGTTATCATAAGCACATCCATCAATCAAGTGGACATCATTTTAACAGTGACTGACAATATCAAATTGCAGAAATGACAATAATAATTATTCCTATCATCTTCCTCAAATTAAATCATAGTTCTTCTCATAATTTTTCAAAAATTTCGGATCAGAATCTGTAGCAAATGTGAAAGTGTCTCAATTTGGTCCACAATTATTGACAAATATAAAAAAAAAATACTTAACAAATATCACAAATGCATTGAACATAATTTCCTTGATGCCTAAAAAGTTTAATCCTATATATATTTTGAGTTAATTTTAGTAAAAAATGGCCTTGAAAGCGAGTTCTCAAGACACCAAAGCTCAAGCCCTTACAAAAGTTCCACTAAAATGTTTGGATTGAAAATGTTCATGTTTGTACAAAATTTTTACATGTACATATTTAGTATGTTTTCATTTCATCTAATACAATCTATTCCAGTGATACTACCTAACATCAATGACCTTTAACAAGCTATGCTAATGTGCAATTAATGCAAGAATGCATTGCTATGTCTTCATTCAACCAATAAATCTCTCCTTAATCCTATCCAGGGTCCTTGCAATTTGTTTTAAGACACAATTAAGCGACAATGCAGTATTTGTGTGTGTCAATATTTTCAATATTTTTTCATCACATGACTTATGCTTTGTTGTTATTGGTTCAGTCATATCACTGGTTTGTCACATGACTTGAATATTTGAGTTTATTTATTTGCTGTCATTTTTTGGTTTGGATCACATGACCAAAACATGAGCATTCATTGGTTCATTACGTGTACAAGCTTACTTCAAAATGAATACATGTACAAAGAATTTTTCAAATTACATAACACTGTCAGTGTATTAAGGAAATTAACATTAACAAATTTAACTACACTTTCATTGAAGGAAATCCATTTTTATTCATAAAGACAGTGATGTCAGTCATTTTGCTTATTTCATAGTGCATAGTTACGAATGGATGTAGATTTTATAATGCCATATTCTAAACGATTTATTTATTCTAAAAATAACATTCTTTGCTTGATTTTAGTTACTTTATCTTAAAGTTGATTAATAAGTAGATGAAAATCAATTTTGATAAATATGATTATTTTTTATAAAAACCATTATTGATTTCTGAAGTTATTAAATTTGACATTTACAGTGATATTCTAAATCACTGATTTTTTAAGCTACAAACAAAATGTCCTATTTCAGATTTCAGAGCATAAAATCAAAATCAGAAAAAATGTACTCCAGACTGAAGTCATAGGTCCTAAGTCTTGATAACCATTAGAAAAAATGTACTCCAGACTGAAGTCATAGGTCCTAAGTCTTGATAACCATTAGAAAAAATAAAAGAAGTAACAACAGCACAAGCCAAGAATTATATCGCCGTTTTTAAGAAAAGCTAGCACTTAAAACATCACATGTGACAGAATACTGTCATGAAAATTGACTAAAATCTTTGACATTTCACACAGAGAGGAGAAACAAGCTTTTCCGGTTGGCTACATGAACCAACGGTTGCTAAAGATTATAAACAACCCCTCATTATATCATTCATGATGGAAATAAACTCTGTCAGGACATTGTACGAATTAAGAGCAATTTACAGCAAATTGGCACGGTTCGGGTGACTTGAATAGCGGAAAGTCGTTGCTGAAGAGACGAGTAAAGAGGGAAATAATGCGTCCTGATCCCTGGGGATTGGTTGGCTTTCTTAAACATAAAACGTACGACTTGGTGATAATTTAGTTCGTGATTGGACGATTTAAATTTAGCAGGCCGTCTATTTATTTATAGCGTTTTATATAACAAAGGCAAGGAGCACAAGAGATCACATGTCTTTGTAAAACGATGTTTTATATTTGACTAGATCAAGGCTTGCAAAGAATTAAAAATGGAATAGAAAATACAGAATACAGCTATGGTGGGAGATGGGATTGGGATGGGATGGGATGTGATAGGATGCAATGCGATGGGATCAGGCATGGGTTTAGGATATGGAATACAGCTATGCTGAGAGAGGGGATTATGATGGGATTCGATGGGATCAGGCATGGGTGTAGGATATGGAATACAGCTATGTTGGGAGAGGGGATTGGGATGGGATGGGCTGTGATGCAATGGGATCAGGCATGGGTTTAGGATATGGAATACAGCTATGGTGGGAGAGGGGATTATGATGGGATTCGATGGGATCAGGCGTGGGTTTAGGATATGGAATACAGTTATGCTGAGAGAGGGGATTATGATGGGATTCGATGGGATCAGGCATGGGTGTAGGATATGGAATACAGCTATGTTGGGAGAGGGGATTGGGATGGGATGGACTGCGATGCAATGGGATCAGGCATGGGTTTAGGATATGGAATACGGCTATGGTGGGAGAGGGGATTATGATGGGATTCGATGGGATCAGGCGTGGGGGTAGGATATGGAATACAGCTATGGTGGGAGAGGGGATTGGGATGGGATGGGCTGCGAAGCGATGCGATGGGATCAGGCATGGGTTTAGGATATGGAATACAGCTATGGTGGGAGAGGGGATTATGATGCGATGCAATGGGATCAGGCATGGGTGTAGGATATGGAATACGGCTATGGTGGGAGAGGGGATTATGATGGGATTCGATGGGATCAGGCGTGGGGGTAGGATATGGAATACAGCTATGGTGGGAGAGGGGATTGGGATGGGATGGGCTGCGAAGCGATGCGATGGGATCAGGCATGGGTTTAGGATATGGAATACAGCTATGGTGGGAGAGGGGATTATGATGCGATGCAATGGGATCAGGCATGGGTGTAGGATATGGAATACAGCTATGGTGGGAGAGGGGATTGGGATGGGATGGGATGGGCTGCGATGCGATGCGATGGGATCAGGCATGGGTTTAGGATATGGAATAACAGCTATGGTGGGAGAGGGGATTATGATGCGATGCGATGGGATCAGGCATGGGTGTAGGATATGGAATACATCTATGGTGGGAGAGGGGATTATGATGCGATGCGATGGGATCAGGCATGGGTGTAGGATATGGAATACATCTATGGTGGGAGAGGGGATTATGATGGGATTCGATGGAATCAGGCATGGGTTTAGGATATGGAATACAGCTATGGTGGGAGAGGGGATTATGATGGGATTCGATGGGATCAGGCATGGGTGTAGGATATGGAATACATCTATGGTGGGAGAGGGGATTGAGTTGGGATTCGATAGGATCAGGCATGGGTGTAGGATATGGAATACATCTATGGTGGGAGAGGGGATTGGGATGGGATGGGATGCGATGCGATGCGATGCGATGGGATTCGATGGGATCAGGCATGGGTGTAGGATATGGAATACATCTATGGTGGGAGAGGGGATTGAGATGGGATTCGATGGGATCAGGCATGGGTGTAGGATATGGAATACATCTATGGTGGGAGAGGGGATTATAATGGGATTTGATGGGATCAGGCATGGGTTTAGGATATGGAATACAGCTATGCTGAGAGAGGAGATTATGATGGGATTCGATGGGATCAGGCATGGGTGTAGGATATGAAATACATCTATGGTGGGAGAGGGGATTGGGATGGGATGGGATGGGATGCGATGCGATGCGATGGGATTCGATGGGATCAGGCATGGGTGTAGGATATGGAATACATCTATGGTGGGAGAAGGGATTGAGATGGGATTAGATGGGATCAGGCATGGGTGTAGGATATGGAATACATCTACATGTATGGTGGGAGAGGGGATTATAATGGGATTCGATGGGATCAGGCATGGGTTTAGGATATGGAATACAGCTATGCTGAGAGAGGAGATTATGATGGGATTCGATAGGATCAGGCATGGGTGTAGGATATGGAATACAGCTATGCTGAGAGAGGGGATTATGATGGGATTCGATGGGATCAGGCATGGGGGTTTAGGATATGGAATACAGCTATGGTGGGAGGGGATCAGGCATGGGTGTAGGACATTACTAATATAGCTCGTACATTGCAAGTACAGCATATTTTTACAGTCAGACATGGTCAAAACATCAGCTCACTGTGTGGAATTGGGAAAAGATGTAGCATAAGGATTAGAATGATTAGGACTAAGAAAATACAGATAGAAGTGGGGTAACAGTGAAATATGCACATTTACTGGATCTTTTATCAGAGGTGTTGCTTGTACACTGATTAGAGAAATTATAATTTTAAATCCTAAATTTTTAAAATAAACGGCAAAGAAGGATCTCTAATGTGAACGCCACTATAGTCAGAATGGGGGTTCAAAGTGTATTATAACAGCACAATACTCTGGGATACTGGTAATATATTTGAGTTGAACTGAAATTGATTCCCAATGGAGAAAAAAATCAATTACACGAGAGTATTGATAATTACTTTACGTGGTAGTTTGATTATTGAAATGAGTTCAATAGTAGACTGGATGGTGACGATAAAAGATATTTCCTCTCAATTTACAATGACTCTAAAGGTTATGTGCTAGTTTATCACGATGTCTTTGTAAGCAAGTTTTCATCTTGAACAAGGTATCAATAATTGCAGTTTGATGTAGGTAGTGGGGCTAGTTATTTTTAATTCTGGTCTCTGGTGTATATTGACTGAAACTACATCTAGCCGACTATACATGCAAATTCATCAACTTTTTATTCAAAATGGTAATGAAGGTCATTCATTATTGTTACAATAAACCATTTTAAACAGACAATGTTTCGAAAATTTCAGGTTTTTATTACTTGAAGCAATGATTTAATGTGATACAGAGAAGATGAAAGATATACTTCAGAAATTACTGACCAGAGTATTTTCACTTCATTTCTGTTGATACGCCAGTATCATAATGTGACACACAGCCTGTTAGTTGATATACACTAGCCTACACGTACACGTATGTGTTAGCTTTGCCGTGTTAGCCAATGCTAACCAAAATATAATGTCATTTATATTCTATTAGTCACAATAACTACATAAAATTCAGAAATTACAATATGATGCAACCCTATTATACATTGTGTAAGGAAATAATATCCACTATACAGTATACGGCAGGATACTTATATAAAGAGGAATGTTTAAGATTTATAATAACTTGAAGTACATGTATTACATAATACTAATAACATAACATGATAGATATCACAGTGGCTAATGATCATAAGTGGCTAATGACCTGAAACAGCTAGCACTGCCTTTGAACAAGCAGCCTGTGGGGCTACCACAGTCGTAGCCAAGGTGACTATGGTACATTGGTGTTATATCATGATGACCATTTCCTTGAATAATACATTTGTGGTGAAAGCAAAATAATTTATTGTTATCAAATTTATGTAATTGAGGACCGGCAAAAGATAAAAAATGGGAGGGATCACTTGCAGATGTGGGGGGGCGACCAAAGCGTGTCGTTTACAAGTGTCTACCCATGAGCCTTTGCATTGTCAGCATGCGTGGTTATCTTCACTTAGGACTCAATTCCAACATGTGCGCAAGTGCATGATGTCCCCTCTGCTTTGAAGAAAATTATTCGGCATTTTAGTTAGTCCTACTGAAAGTCACAGCAGAGGGTAAAGATCACTCAAAATACCACAAACAATATACAACAAACTTTAGTACTGTAAAGGTCAAATTACTACAAATTGAAAATAGAACTGTTTTGGCTTTCCAAAACATGAAACTATGATATATATTTGTCTGTAAATTACATGTAGGCAGATAAATGAGTGAATTGAAATGTTTTCAGCTTTATGAAAAGATTCTGTAGATCAATAGTATTAAGCAACAACTATCGAGGCAAGCTCTTTTAAGGAGAATGCGTAATCTCAAGATATCAGGCCAATTATAAATACTGGCGACAAAATTCAATCAATAGATATAGTACATACAAAAGGAGAGACAAATGGCAATGTAACAGGATATAAAGAAGTCTGTATATCAAGAATTGAGAGAAAAAAATATTGGACTGAGCGTCTATCAAGTACTCAGACTGGATGGCATCCATACAGACAATTGTCACATTGAATAAAACTCATTGCAGGCAGTCAGGAAGACAGAACACGATCTTTTCTTTTCACAATTAAATCATTATTCTATCTAAATTATTCATCTCTGACAGATCTGTCATTCAGAGCAGGTAGATTCAATTTTATACATACAGTAAATTACAATTAACTGATGAGGCGAATTCATTAATTCTCAATATTACACATTGCTGATATTCATAGTTGATGATGTAATACTGTTAATGAATAAGCATGAATGTACATCTCATCAATATTTATAAAGTTAAGGAATATTCATGAGTATATATCTTATTGACATCTTGTTTACGAACAGTCATGAAATTATTGAATATTCATGAGTATACATATTATTGTCATCTGTTAGGAAATATTCATGAATTTTATGAATATTCATGACTATACATTTTATTGACATCTTGTTCACGAACAGTCATGAAGTTAATGAATATTCATGAGTATACATCTTATTGACCTCTTGTTAAGAAATATTCATGAATTTAATGAATATTCATGAGTATACATCATAATGGTATCTTTTAACAAATATTCATGTAGTTAATTCTACTAACACAGATATATTTTATACAGAAAAATGAAAAACAAAGGTGGACTGAAAATATCAAAGAAAATCACTGAAGTATTCTTATCACTGAAGTAACAGCTAATTTCAAATGGCTACTGACAAGAAGACCAAGAATAGGTAACAAAAATGCTTTGTACACAGGGTTTTAAAGTCATTTCTTAACAAGTGTATTAAATACCAACAATCTGAACACTTGACAACAAAATTGGTTTTCATTCAACTGACTAATGGAAGTGTATTGATGCATTATAAACTCGCTCTGTGATTGGCTCCTCTGGGATCTCAATATTTTGAATGTGATGCAGATGTTGTGTGCCTTTCAAACGTTTTACCAAACCAGCTGATTATTTAAGGTTATTTTCATTGCTCGTCCTTCACTGCCACAGACTGGCAAACTTGCACACAAGCAGGCGCATGAAATCTTGGTCAGTAATGTAAATACATGGACAACTAGTAAAAAAAAATGGGTAACTTAAAAGCAGTGCAAATTCTTGATATTTTGACAAGTAGCACATGCGCTTATAATAATAATATATAATAATAATAATAATGTTTATTCAACCTTTGTATCGGCAGCATGAAAACAGTAATACATATATTTAAATTACATTCATCATTTATGTAAATTACAAAAGTGTTTCTACTGTAGAAATAATATTTTAATGATTCAATATACAGAAATTGTGATATTTGGTTTATATGTGCATTTATGGAGATGTATTTCTGTAAGAGCAATAACGATATACTGGTTGTATGTACCCGGTACATATTATGTATCAGTTGTAATAAAAAAATATAAGATGGCTGCAAATGTTGTATGTCATACTTTTATTCAAACACCCAACTGTCAATCACATTGATGTCTACTTTACAGATCTATATCAGATTTTGATTCCACCGATTCAATTGGTGGAAGTATGCAGTCATGCTACAAAGCTAATTAAAGAAATCACAGAATCATAGTTACCATGGAAACCAGCTAAGGTTAGTTTATCACTACTCATCATATGCTTAGTGTAAACTAATGTTCAACGAATTATTAACAATGTAGTGAAGTGTCTTTAGTTTGTCATTATTGTCACAAGGAGTCTGATCAGATTCATTTGGTTATCGCCACAACATTCCCTTGCATTTAGAAGACCGCACTTTATAGCACAATCGACCACCACGTTCAATGATGCATTGCCGATAAAATATTTGTGACACATTACTGAGCACATGTGCAATGCCTTGTTAGAGAAAATTCCAAGTGAATATAATTACATGTGTTATATTTTGTAAAAATTATTAAACTGAAAATATACTAAATTAATATCTTAAATATGGGTACAATTATTAGGAGTCTTATCCAAAAAAACACAACTTTTTCACCCAATGTGATCGAGCAAAAATTTTGGTACTATATTTTACACATTTTTATGTTTTTTTTACCAAACTTTTTTTTGGAACAAGTGTATCAAATTGTTTGGTGTATTACATGTATATGAAATAGAACAACATTTTGATAGATTTTGACATTCAGTGGCTAGTGACAACTTTATTAACAACTGTGTACTGTATACTTTTGCAAACAGGAGAGCTTGGAATATGAAGAGAGCTTTGAAAATGTAGATCTACGATATGATATACAATAATAATTGTTCAAAGATTTTCTTGGAGTCGCAGGGCTGCTTTCAGTAACACTCAATTTCCTTTTTCAATGTTTCCTCCATTCTAGTTACATTGCAAGTGTAGCCTCACATTGTTGTTATATTTTTTTTTTCTAGTAATACTTGAATATAATAAGGAATTATAAAACCAAAACCAGAAAAAAAATTCACCATATAAAAATTCACCATATTTCTGTTCATGTAATATTTCTGTTCATGTAATATTATGAGCTGGTGTAAAAACTGTGCATAATCTAATGAAAATGAAAAAAGTGCAGAGAAAAGGTCATAAA